CAATCTCCACCTCGCACCGTGACCTCCACATCATGTCGAGCTTCATCCAAGTCCATCTGCATCTTCCGCACAAACTCCGCATTCCTCAAAACCTGGAGCGTCGCCAAATGTCGCTCCAACCGATCCGATGACAACGCCTTCATCAAGGCATCTGCCGGATTCTCTGCCGTGTGAATCTTCTGGAGATCCACCGCACCACTTGCAACCAATCCTCGTCCAGTGGTAGCGAATGTCAATGTGTTTCGTCCTCGGATGAAACACGTTATCCTTCGCTAGTGCCAATGCTGACGGCTGTCGGTGAGAAGTACCGTCGATGCCCGCGTCCGTGCATCGAAATCTCGAAACAATCCCTGAAGCCAAATGGCTTCCTTCCAGCCTCCGTGATCGCCATGTACTCCGCCTCTGTGGTAGATAGAGTCGTCACCGACTGCAAGACTGATCTCCATGAATCGGTCCGCCTCCCGTCGTGAATATAAAGCCCGTCGTGGACTTCCTCTCGTCTCTATCGCCCGCATAGTCGGAATCCACGTACCCGATCAACTCCACTGGACGCCTCCAAATCGTATACCATAGTCCGATGTGCCTCGTAGATATCGGAGTATCCACAAGACCGCCCTCCAGTGCTCCATGCCAGGGTTCTGTGCGAACCTGCTCACAACACCGACTGCATGGGCTATGTCAGGTCGTGTGCACACCACGCATACATGAGAGATCCCACGGCACTCTGATATGGTATGCACTCATCCCTCGATCTCCTCCTCCACTGTCGGCGAATCTGCCAATGACAGTCTGAAGTGACTCCCCATCGGTGTCGCCACGATCCGACTGTCGTCCATCCTGAACCTCCCAAGACCCCCTCGATGTAATCTGACGGGGGAGGAAGAGTGTGTGAGATCGTCTATCCCTGCTCACCGCCATGCCAAGGATCCGAGAAGCTGGTCCCAATCCTTCATCCTGAAGGCGCTCCCAGTTCCGCCTTTGACTGCTCAATGTCATGCATCCTCTCTCCAGCTATGAGGATGTCGTCCACGTACAAGACTAAGAATGTTCGTCCTGTACCTCTGTCCCGCGAGTAAAGACAATGATCATGCTCGCTCCTCGCGTACCCTTGCTCCGTCATGAAGTCGTGGAACCGTCGGTTCCACTGTCGGGGAGACTGACGCAGCCCATACAATGCACGTCGAATCCTGCACACAGCCTCCGGTGCGCTCGCGTCAATGTATCCCTCGGGCTGCTGCATGTAGATCTCCTCGTCGATGTCTCCATGTAGGAACGCCGTAGTCCCATCCATCTGATATAGCTCCCAGTCCCTACATGCCACCATACTTAGGAGCATGCGTATCGTCTCATACCTCACGACTGGCGCGAAGATCTCATGGAAATCACTCCTTCGCGCTGCAAGTATCCCTTGGCGACAAGTCGCCCTTGAAGCGCACGTCGCCCATCGTTGGTCCCACCTGCGTGGAATAGCCATCTACATCCCAGCACACGACCTCCAGGTGGAAGCGCCATAAGCTCCCACGTACCGCATGCACGCTGAGACTCCATCTCCTCATCCATGGCGCGTATCCATCGGTCTCGATCCGGTCCGAATCGCCTCCATGTACGCGTCGGATCAACACCCTCCACATCGTAGAGCTCGTAGTCTCCGAATCTCTGTGGAAGTCTCGTGGCCCTGCGAGGCCTCTCCCGTGCAATGCCGCTCCGGCTCATCATGTCGTGTCGAGATGTCGGTCGGTGCACCCTGCGTATGCTGCGTGTCATCCATGGTATCATGGTAGACATCATCACCACCATCGGAATCGTCATCGGGAGCCTCCTCTGGTATCGTCGTGCGAGCTCCACCTCCAGCTGGAATCTCCACCTCGAGCTGAGAAGATCCCATCGGAGCGATAGTCTCAACTACCACAGGCTGAGGTGTCTCCTGCGTCTGCGTATCTGTCGCCTCCGTCTGACGTAGAAGTGCCTCCTCATCGAACGTGACGTCCCGACTGTCACGATCCTCCTGGACCCCGGGTCCCAACATCTGTATCCCTTCACTCCTCGAGTGAAACCAACAAAGATGCACCGCCTTGACCTTGCATCCAGCTGTCCCGCTCATCGCTCGGAGTCAGCAAAATACGGACTCCCAAATGCGCGTAGATGCATGTAATCCGGCTTTCAACCGCTCCAGAACTCCATCGGACATCTCGTATCCAATCTCCCATTCGGCGTGCGGTTCAAGAGGTAAACCGCATGGGAGACTGCCTCCGCCCAAACTGCTTCGGTAGACCCGAATGCAGTCGCATGGCTCGTGCCCTCTCCGTGATGGTGCACATGAAGCGCTCAGCCACCCCGTTCTGTTGTGGCGTCTTCGGTGTCGTAAACTCTCGCCGAATCCGCGATCTCTGCAGAACTGCACAAACTCACGGGAAGTGTACTCACCTCCGTTGTCAGATCTCATGCATCTGACACGCATTCCTGTCTCCGTCTCAACTCCGGCTAGCCACTCTCTGAAAATGGCGAAGACCTGTGACTCTCTCTCATGATGTATACCCACACGCGGCGAGAGAAGTCATCAATAAACGTCACAAAGTATCGGCCCCTCCAATAGAATGAGACGGTGTGGGCCCGTATACATCTGTGTGGATCAGCTGCAACCTCTCTGTGCTGCGATATCTTGATGTCCGGAAGCTCACACGCTGCTGCTTCCCCATCACACAGTGCTGGCACAAAGGTATCTCACAACTCCTGATACCTGGCAACAGCCTCTCTGGTGCAGCGCTCGCAATCCCTGATCACCGACATGCCCCAACCGCATGTACCAAAGGACTGCCTGGTCAACGGAATGTGTCGCAACTGACATCTCCTCCGACGGTAGAGCTTGCCATCCAAAGCATAGAGGTTGTTGACGCACAACCTCGCCCTCATCTCGTCATGGCGCCTCTACTCACGAGCATAACTCCAGCTCACCCGCGGAACCCGTAACCGTCTCTGTCGAGGGTCCCACAGAATACCAGGTTCCTGCGAAGCGTCGAAACAAAATATATGTCCCTGATGATCCTGATGGCACCATCGTGTAACCGAAATCTGGCACTTCATCCCTCAATAGCACACTGAGTACCGTCACCGAGCGAAACCGTACCTGATCGACTGGATGAAATCAATGAAAACACTCCTTACAAGGTATAGTGCTTCGTACATGCAGAGTCCATAATCCAGTCATCACTGCCTGCCACCTCGCCAATGGTCAGCGCCTCCTCTCTGACCTGAATATGTGTGGTGGCATGTCCCTCTGCATCACTAACATCCGACTCCGACACATCTGACCGGCCACTGCGCTTCGGACAATGTCTCCTGATGTGTCCCTGCTCCCGCATCGGTAGCATGTATATCGTAGGGGAAGTCTTCCCCTTCCCCTTGCTCGCTCTCGGCTACCATCTCTGCGTCCGCGATCTCCACGTCCACGATCGCCGCGCCCTCGTCTCCGTTGGCCTCTCCCCTGGCCAGTTGTCGACGTACTAGTGTAGTACGCGTCCGACTGCTCATGCTTCAAGCGACCCCAAGTCTCCTGGTCGCGAAGCGCAGTCATAATCTCCTCATACTGCAACGACTCTTTCCCCTGGATAAGAGTTGTCACCAAATGATCGTATGAGTCCGGTAGCGAGCCACAAAGCACCATAGATCGGTCATCATCTCCTGGCTTGACGCCAATCTTCCCCAAATCACCGAGAATCTGGTTGAAGTTGGCGATGTGTGTGCGCAAGTCTCCTCCCTCACGCATCCGCATACCGTAATACTTCCGCATCAACATCAGTTTGTTGGTGATCGTCTTCCCCATGTAGAGTTGCTCCAGCTTCTCCCAAAGTGTCTTCGCTGTGGTGAGCGAAGCCACATCGTACACAACCTCGTCCGCAAGAGATGAACGGATGATGCCCATAGCCGCGGCATCAAGATCCGTCCAATCAGCCTGATCCATCGTAGCTGGTTTCGCCTGAAAGCACCGCGCTCACCCGAGCTTTCGCAAGCTCGTCCCGGATCCTCAACTGCCATAGAGTGAAGTTGCCTCTGCCGTTGAACCGTTCCACACGGTCCTCCACAGAACTCCGGAAGCCATGCTCTACCAATCCACTCTGAGCGTCAACTGAAGGCTCTGATACACCTTTGTTGGGTGTGTCTTTTCACTTGCACCACACACTCGATCGTCGAAAACGCTCTGAGAAATACATGCAACTAAGTGCGGAAACTTGTCACACTGATAAATGTTGTTCGGGAAATACAATGCGAAATAGTGAACACAAAGTGGGCCCGCAAAAATCCCGAAATATCGGCTCTGACGGAATGCGCCCCCACCACCCGTCTGTGCTCCAGATGCGTGCTCGATGCTCCTGTATCGCGTACGTGCAATCCGCGATCACTTCCGACTTCCTGACGGCCCGAAATGCGCCTCGGAAGTCCGCTGTCCCGTATCTCCAAAACCGTGCGTCGGATGACGAAACCGACGTCGCCGTTGGAACCGCAGCGCGTCAAAACCCCCGGGTAGCATCCCCGTCGAAATCCGGGTCGGTCGCCGGAGGTTGCCGGAATCCGGTCACCGGTCGTCTTCTCCGGGAACTGGTTTCGGTCAAACTCGACCAAAACCAACGCGACCAGAACTGATGCGTTAGCCTCCTCCTTGCGGTGCTCTCCGCGCCAACCGTCGCTTGAAATACCTCCCGGATCGGTGAAACCGAGCTCTCCAAGTTTCGGTCGTCGAGATCCCGCCGTCCGGCAACACCACTGCCCAAGACCGGGCTCCCCAAGCTCGCCTCAACACGCCGTGCAAGGATCCGCAGCTGTGAGAATCACCTCCCTCACCGGAGAGAGATCCGAGCCCTCCAAAGGTAGCCCTCTCCTCTTCTCTCCTCTTTGTTTCGATTTGCACCCGAGAGCTCCACACCAAGCAAATGCACGGACCCCTCACCAAAGTCAAAAAAAAATATGGGGTTACGGTGCGTCATAAAATAACAAGAGGAACCTGACAAGGCATCGAGCCCCATTGAAGCAGCTTCCTAGGAAGCTGATGCCCCTGCCTCTTTACTGTTTCTCTGCTTTGGAAACAGTTCATTTTGTGCCACTATTGAACCCAAAACATAAAATCAATCGACGGAGGCAGCACGGGGACGAGGATTCACGTGTTTGGGTACAGAGTCGAAGGTAAAACTAAAAACCCGGTTTTCGATTTTAAAGAAGGATGGAGAGCATGAGCGTGCACCGGGATTTTCGGCGTACGCGGAGGACACAGAAGGAGCTGCGGATTCGTTGAAAGAGCTTTTGGAGTTTGGGAGGAGGAAGGTTCCGAGAAAACTGTGGGGAGAGACGGGGCTTGTTCCTTGCTTTGCTGCACACAATTCGAAATGACAGTCAAAGAAAGGCAATATTTTCAAAATGTTTCACAAAAGAAGAAGATCGTGGTGTTCGAATCTCAGAAAGAAAAGTTGATTGAGGCTGCCCCAGAAGCGCTGCTTGTGCAGGGAGGTTGGAGGCAGAAACAATGAAATGCAACTGCACATCAATGGGATGCTGCAGTTCGTGCAAATGGTAGCCAAACGGCTGAGCTTTCTCCTCAAGGGTGGGTAGGAAGACAAGCTGAAGATGAAAGAGTTCCTCGTATTGAAGAAAGATTATTGGTTGAGGGAGGCAATAATCGTCTGTTGATCCTTGCGAACTCTGCTGAATTAATGTCAGAATCTGAGGATAGTTTACGTAGAGTACATGTAAATCATCAAGGCTATGAAGGCTAGTACCTTAAAAATGGAAATTTTCTGGTTAGTTTCAATTTTATCAGGTATATGACTCATGTTATGTCACTAATTATCCATCATCAATGTTAGATTCTACCATGGAGGCTCAACATTTGGAAGAAAATGTTAATGATGTTATGGCTACAGATAATGGTACAGCTCTCCAACAAATCATGGCTTTTGATCAAGCAAAAAAATTCATTGCTTCTGTGACATGTTTATCTAGCAACACATTTTCACAAGTTCTTCTAAAAGTATCTGCGCTTCTTCGTGTTATTTTAGATAGAATGGGAAAAAAGTTTGAAGAAGACCCAAATTGCTCATGAGAGAAACGAGAAGAAAGGATCTCATTCTGAAGGAAACTTGCCCCGGTTGAGTCAAATCCAGCGTCAAGCTTGCCTTAAAAGCCATCATTCATGCAACAGAGCATCCAAGAGGACACTTGTGGGTGCTTGCAAAGAAGTAAAACTCGCCTGACTCAAATTCGCCATCTAGCTTGATCGGCGAATCATGTGCTAGGGAAAGAGGATACTGCAGGATGTTCAGATGGCAAGTTGCCAGGAGGAATAACACGCCTGAGTCAGATTTGGCGTCAAGCTCGGTCTACAAACAATTGCTCACTGCAAGAAGGTACTGGGGAGCATATGCACAGTCATTTAGATTGCCAAATTCATGAAGGTAATTTATTAGGAGATATAGATAAAACGGACTCGGAAGGAATACATGAAATAAGTGTTTTCAATTCTTTTTCAACAATGGATGCTGCTAGGCAGAAACTGGTGCCTAGTGGTAGGCACTTAGCAATATTGAAAATTATACCGTAGGTCATCTTCTACCTTGTATCACCTTGCTCTCACAAAGTGTATCCAAAGTTTCTCCAGGCAGAGCAGGTGTATGATCAAGTTTTAGATTTCATGTTAGCTGCTTGCTTATTTTCCTGGTTCCTCTGTATTTCTATCAGATGTCCAGAAGGAAGATGCAGCTGCAGAAAAATGTGCAAAGCTAGACAGCCGCCAATCTTTTTTTTTGGGGATTTAGGAGCAAAATCTAGTTTCTCACAAGTGTGGGTTATGAGTTGGTGAAGCATGCGCTTCCTGTGAACTAGTTCCCCTCCTTGAAAATATTATTCTCAGTTTTCTATTAGACATACAGTTCACACTTGAATGAAAAATTTATGAATTATAATTTATAATATATAAATTATTTACTCCACATTAAAGGGAGACAAAAAGTATTGTTACCGAACCATTACATCAATGAGCAATTCTCTTATTTGTTTAATATAAGATTGAAACATATTGATACTTTAAAATAAAATTATACAAAAATAGTTATATCAAACACGTATTAATTTTATTTAAATTATGATAAATTTTATTTTTTTTCTTAATTTTTAATAAATTTTGATAAATAAACAACATATGAAATAAATATTTTATAAATTTTTTTCTTCTTATATTATATATCTTCTTGATAATTAAGCAGTTGAATATTTTCAATTCATTAATGAGAAAACTTCTTCTAACTCAACTTAATTCAAATTAATTTAAATATTAATAATTTAAAATCAAAATAAAATCCAAAACAATAAAAATACAAAAACCCAATCCTTCTTACTCTAAACTGCATATTCAAAATGAGTATGAATTAAAATGACTAAAATCGCAAATACTAATTTTTATGCTTATTTTAATAATTAGAAAAAAAACGAGGGCGTTTCTGCAATTAGCCCAAAAGATTAAAACGACAATTTACAATTAAAAAAAAAAGGGCGCGATCTATCCAAACCGGTAATTTGGTGTAAGATCGGACCGAACCGGAAGTGTTTCCCTGTACGTAAATAAGCTGTAGAAAGTTGAAACACAAACTCAAAAACAAAAAAAAAAAACAAAAAAATTAAGATAGGAGAGAGAGAGGGCTGAATCCTTTGAATCCAAGCTCTCTCCTTCTCCAAATCAATCCCAATTTGAAGAAAAACCCTAAAAAAATCCTGATTCTTTCTATTATTTCCCCTTTTTTTTTTCAATTTCGATTAAAATTTCAATTCTTTTCATAGAAAAAGGATTTGGGTAGTGTTTGATAATCACATGCTCCTTCCTCCCCAACAATATTTGTTGATAGGTTGATGCGACGATCGCATGCCCGAAATCGGGTTGAATCGAAATCCAAATCCAATACCAGCACACCTAAAATGGACCCAGTTAGGCTCCAAATCCGACCCAACACCCGATCCACAGCTCTGTTTTCCAGAAACCCTCGTCAAACCAAGCCAACCACATCTTTCATCGCAATCTCAATCGCCACGTTTCTTGCTTTAGTGATTTTTATTTACATTTTCCTTTTCTCCACCAAAGATTCCAAAAAGTATGGAATCATAATCGACGGCGGCAGCACGGGGACGAGGATTCATGTGTTTGGGTACAGAGTCGAAGGTAAAACTAAAAACCCGGTTTTCGATTTTAAAGAAGGGTTGGAGAGCTTGAGGGTGAACCCGGGATTGTCGGCGTACGCGGAGGACCCGGAAGGAGCTGCGGATTCGTTGAGAGAGCTTTTGGAGTTTGGGAGGAAGAAGGTTCCGAGAAAACTGTGGGGAGAGACGGAGATTAGGCTAATGGCGACGGCCGGTTTGAGATTGTTGGATGTTGAGGTGCAAGAGAGGATTTTGGAGGAGTGCAGGAAGGTGCTTAGGGTGTCTGGGTTTAAGTTTCAGGACGACTGGGCTTCAGTTATCACAGGTAATATAATGTGGATTGTTTCGAGGGAGTTTTGTGAGACAATGTTGGAAAATTTTGATGTGTTTCTGTTTGGAACATGTGAGGAATAGAAGAGTAGTAAGAGGTCTAAGTTCATATTTAGTGATAGAAAGTATTTGGATGATAAAACATGATACTATGTCGATAGACCTATGAATGCAGATTGAATTGCTCTTATAAATGAGCAATGGCTAAAGCTATGAGATTGTCAATGTTTTATGATGTTTTAATTTTGAGCACTTGACTTCTTCTGAGGCGCTTATATGATGGAAATGACAAGGCCATTTGAGTACTTGGCCATGTTTTGAGTGAATTTTGTAAACCAGTGTGGGAAAACTTTGATTTTATTTTAAAAGGGAAATGTGATAAGTGGAAGAGTAGTAAGAGTGGTTAATCTACGGTTTAGGATAATAGCTTATGGTTAATGATAGAGCTTATTGATTTAATAGAATTTCAACTTGAAAATCTCTTGTCAATAGGCCTATTAATAAATGCCAATTAAAGCTATTGTCTCTGCAATATTTTGTGATGTTCTCATTTCGGTACTTAACTTCTTCAGGCTCATAGGAGAAGTAACTAAACATATGCCAAAATGTGGCTGGAGTTTATGATTTGGTTGTCAACTTCTAACCTACTGCAAAAAGATCTTTGATTGTTTGCAAGCAATTTAGCAAAGATGGTTGAGATATGGTAGCGCAATATTTTTAATTTGCCTTCAGTTGGAGTGCTTTTGGCCTCCCCATGCTATAGTTTTGGCAGCAATTGAGAAATAGACCTCTATTGTCATTTTCTTTAGGTGAGGCCTTAAATGATGTCACATTGTAGATTTTTATGTAAGAGTGGGTGTCTGTCTTGGTCCATTTTGAACTAACGACACGTATCAGAGGGAGAACCAACAAAAATGATAGCGATAACTTCTTGGAATATTATAGATGTCGGCATTCCATCTTTTTGTCTGGTGGCTATATTAGTATATAATTTGCTATGTATCCAAAGCTTAAATAAGGATCAGCTCTTGTAGTCAATGCTGGAAATCTTACAATCCTTGTGTTTGTATTATAGTCTCTAATCGCTGATCTGCATTTTTGATGCTAAGTTTGGATGCTATTGTCTTAGGCTCTGATGAAGGGGTGTATGCTTGGGTTGTTGCAAACTATGCACTTGGTACTCTTGGAGGTAATCCTCTGCATACAACTGGGATTATTGAACTTGGCGGGGCATCTGCTCAGGTTTTTTTCATCCATAATTCTTTGCTGCTTCTTGATTCTTTAATTTGGAATATTTCTACATCGTTTTGATAGAGTTAAATTGGATTCTTCCACACCAGAATTTGAAAGTCATTCAAGCTTCTAATTATTGACACCAAGTGCGAGAGTTCCTTGAAGCTATTTCTTGTGTATTGAGAAATTACATCTCAAATTAGTTTGTAATCCACTGGAAAAATTTAGTTGTTGAGCTTATCAACTATGAAGCAGGTGGTGAGTGTGAGCCATGAACTACATTTTGTTGATATTCCTGAAAGACTACAAGTTGATGCATTTCAAGAAACAAGAATTAACATGCAAAAATTTATGGTTGGGAAAGACATCACTTACTTAAAGCAACAAAACTCTGTATTGTCAGAAAGGCGGAAAAGAAGGTTAAAAAACAAGAAGCTATAACTTATCAACTAATTTGCAAGTGCATCTGATGTCCTGGCTTGTAAACAATTTAGCATTTGTGTCCTTGGCTTGACACTCTTAAAATGTATAAGTTGAGAAGCTCATATAAGTTCATGATTAACTTCGCTGCTATACTTATATTTCAGGTAACCTTTATCCCTAGTGAGCCTATGCCTTCTGAGTTCTCTCGCTCCATCAAGTTTGGGAATTTCACTTACAATCTCTACAGCCACAGCTATCTTCATTTTGGCCAGGTAATCTTTGTATGCATTAGCTATTCTTTTACTTTTTTGCTGGTTATAGTTGCCATGCAGGTGTATTCCAAGTGTAGTCATCTTATTCCACAAACATTATGGTTTAGTTGTTTAACGAACTTTGTTGCTGATGAGATGCTTTGGTATGCTTTGCACAGCCAAAATTAAATGGACTGAGAATATATTTTTGTTTATAAATTGTGGAAGTAGATATGACTGATTAGCTGTCCTTCTGCCAAGTGTTTTTCTTCATCCTTTTAAAACAATAATGATAATTGCATATCTAACTTCTAACTAATGTCAGTATTGTTTCAATATGGTTTTGCATTGTGATTTTTGTAGTATTTCATTAGCGATTCTGTCAGGAATTCAAACTTGATCTAGGAGCTTTTATCTTTTGTCATTTTTGCAGAATGTTGCACATGAATCATTGAGGGAATCACTCATTAAACGAGATTTCAGTCCAGGTATGTTTCAATGCCTTTGCTTTCTGCCAAAGTTTTGCAGGCTTAGAAGTACTTGAAGAAGTCTTAAAAGGTACTTATAGTGCCTTGAATTCAAACTAGGAAATTCAGTCATGCTGAGGTTTTCTTTAATCATCTTTGTGAGTCTTGCATTGTTAAAGCCTGAGGAAGAGATCTAAATTTTATATGAGCACTATTTATATATTACAGTTTTGACTATTTAGGCTGGTTTTGACTGTTTAATTCTGAAAGTTGTTTTCTTTGCCTTTGGTCATTTATGGCTATTCATAATGGACATTATGGAAAAGGTTGTTAGAATTAAAGTTTTTGTATCGCTTATTTTCATAGGATCTTTGTTACTTTTGATAGAGATGGCATGGAGTTGGTTAAGTTATTATGTTTATTTTGCTCATTTTTTGTTCCTTATCTCAATGCAGCTGCTGACTCTCTTCCTAAGGGAATGTATATAGATCCTTGTACACCTAAGGGGTACTTGCCTGAGTCATCGAAACTTTCGCTAGTTTCTATGGCTGAAAAAAGTAAATATATTTCTGAACTTCAAGCTAGGGGTAACTTCTCGGAGTGCAGATCTGCTGCACTAATGCTGTTACAGAAAGAAAAAGGTTAGAACCTGTCTTAGAACCACAACATTTATTGCATTACATTGTGCCACAGGATGATAATCATTATATATTCTGAGATACAGAGAAATGTTCCTATGATCGCTGTTATTTGGGGTCAGTTTTCATGCCTAAGCTTCAAGGGAAATTTTTGGCTACAGAAAATTTCTTCTATACGTCAAAGGTATAATTATAATCTTTCTTACTGGCTTATGCATGCTTAACTTTTGCCTGTTTTTATATGCCTTACATGGATTTTTTTAGGAAAAAAAAGCACACATCCTGAACCCTCGTATTTAATGCTTGAAATATACTGAGTTTCTGTTTATGTAAGACTTCCATTTCTTTGTCTGCCTCCTGCTGTGATAGTTCTTTAGGTTGCGCCAAAGGGCCTTTCTTTCTGATCTAATGATAGCGGGGCAACATTTCTGTGGAGAGGATTGGTCAAAATTGAAGAAGAAACACCAATCACTTGATGAGGAAGATCTGTTGCGCTATTGTTTTTCTTCAGCGTATATTGTGGCCTTGCTTCATGATAGCCTTGAAATTGCTTTGGATGATGAAAGGTATGTTTCATTCTTTACCAGTTAAGTGTCCTCAAAAGCTAACAGGCTAGATTAGTTCTATTCAATGACTTAATAGGGCATTGTGGATTTCCTCCATATGAAAATATTGAATAGGTGTCTTGCATTTTGGGCAGTTTGGCAATAGATTATTCATTCTCTGAACTGAAAAATCACTAATGGGAATTTAATCTTGAACAGGATAACCTTTGCTAACCAGGTGGAAAATATACCACTAGATTGGGCATTGGGAGCTTTCATATTGCAGAGCACAACCAACTCGGATGTGCAGCAACCTGACTGGATAACTACCATTATCAGCAAAGATTCACCCACACTGCTTTCCATCATTGCAATTTCTGCAATATTGATGTTCATAGCTTGGTCTATATCAAAATGGAGGAAGCCCCAGTTGAAGACAGTGTATGATCTAGAGAAAGGGCGATATATAGTTACTCGTATAGGTAGAAGTTGATAGCATTGTCGAAAGGAGATTGAACACATCCTTATGGTTTTGCAGTCAAGGAGATGTCTTATGGTATTATCTTTATGCTTCCTTGCTTTACCGTACCCTCTTAAGACCACCATGTCAGTGGGAAATGTAAGATTGTATATCATTGAGTTTCGACGTAGGATTTAGTGTAACAATTTCATTGGGAACTAGGATAGAAGATTAAGATTCCCATTTTTGTATTTACCAGGAACCAAAACCCTTAGTTTATTATACCACATCCCCTTTCATTTTACCTATATACGACAGGATATAGTTAAGGAGTGTATCATGGATTAGTTGTGGGGGGTATTCTCAGAGCTGTACTCTCACTGCTTCATGAAATGTGTCTAAGGTGTGATCTTTAGGCTTTGTTGTTGTTTTGGTATGGAAAAAATATTGTTCATGTCTCAAATGTTTGTTCTTTATGTATCTTGCAATATTCTTCTTTGTTCATTCATTCCTTTGGTAACCAACAAATAAATCTGAAAATTTAATGTGGAGCAAAGAAGAAAAGCAAAAGAAATGGACATGGAAAAATTGCTGTTTATGGATTGGATTGATGTCTAAATCTTGACAGCTTGATTACAGTTGGACTCATTTGGTTATTGTGATAAAATCATTTGCCATATTCAATCAAAAGTTCCATCAAGGGTAGTGCTAAATCAGGTTAAAAGGTTGCAAATTTTAAAAATTAATAAAGTTTATAAAATTTAAAAATTCAACCGACGGTATATTGTATAATAATCCTAAACAAAATTCATATGTATTATCTAAAATCTATTATATTTACTAATTAGAGTATAAAAATTCAAGATTTATCGTGTATAAATTTTTATTTAAGATGGAGTAAATACAATGTAAAAGTCAACCATCTTCTCTATTTCTTAGAATCCCAAATGTACCATCCTATAGAAGTGTTTATTAAACATGAAAACAAGTTGATCTAAACCAACATAGCATCATTATTTATTGAGTCTAGATAAAGCTTTGACCATTCACTTGGATGAGAAATGGGCTATTAAATTTCTTTTTGCTTGATAGGTACTAAAACATTTTGTCCCTTGTTTCATCAATTTGCATGAAGAATTCAAAATTGCATTGATTTTTTAGTACAAATGAAAATGAAGATGCATTGATTAAAGCAGAAAAATACCATTTTTGTTGCAGGGTTTTCTTGATCGATGTTTTAATTGTATTTTTTAAGGATAATTAATATTAAAAAATATATTGTTTAATATAATAATTTTAGAAAAATATTTTTAGAACATCCATCACTTTGATTGCTTCACTTTGACCAAACCCACTTTATATATATATATATAAAATAAATGATCATCCAAAAGAGAATTCACCCAAATCCCATTTTGATTAGGCTATTGTCCTAGCCTACCTTCATAATAAGGAAAGTGACATGCATGTCTGCCCCAGATCTACAGGGTCAAATGCCCTTTTGCTATGAATACCAAACCCCTAATATATTAATTAATACAACTATTATAAGCATATATACATCTACTGTTGTAGAAAGAGGCAAAGAGAGAATAAAGGTCAATGCTTTGATGTTTAATAAATAGAATTAAGGGTAGGAAATGAAACTTGAGTTAAGAAAAAGATACCCAAAATTCAAAATTAGGAATTTGATTTGAGCCCATATATATTTAAATTGGTTACCATTCAATTATTCTATTATAAATTTTCATTTAAATACAATTTATCTTTAAAAATTCATAGTAGAAAGAGTACAACAAAAAATCCGTCTAAGTCCCAACAAATATATTTATTAGGTAATGAAAAATAAATAGCTAAAAAGCAATTAAAAATGAAAAAACAAAAAGCAAAAAAGTGTAATAATTGAGTTAATGCTTGATTCCGGGCGCCAACCGCAAACCAGACAAAGCACCGAAAGAGACGACGGGGTCAGCCAGCAAACGCGTCGATGGCAAATTCAAAATCCCGAAAATACCCTCGGAGCCGTTTGAATTGACGTCACCAATGTTTCTCGACCTTTAATCCCTAATCATATTAATTATTCGCATTTTCGTATCTTAATTTTCTATTATAAATATAAATTATTAATCTAATTTTATCGGGAATTTATTATTCGTATTATTCGTGTGTCTTAATCTTATTTTATAAATAGAATCCGATATAATTAATTAAAAGTATCAAAATTTTAAATACGATTATACATATATTTATTAATACGGAAATATTTTGAATTTTATAAAAAAAAAGTATAAAATGTCGGAGCATGGAAAATTTAGGAAGGAAAAACGCGTTGGAAGGGGAAAAGCTTAATTAGAAAATTGCTCTCCTATTTCTTCGTTTTCCTAAATCAAACACAAATCCCCCCATTTTCTCCGCTAAAAGGTAAAATTTTTTCAAGAATTTCGTTAATTTTTTTTCCTTCTCTGTTATTAGATTTCTTTTGAATTTTTTTTCTGTCCCCATTCTCTTATTTGTTCCGAAACCTCCGATCCGCTGCTGTTACTCAGCGCGATCTCGGGTTTCT